GGGTCTACTAGAAACAATCTTAGTATCTGCTTTATAAGTTATATGTGAGCGGTTCTGGGAGGAGTGGAATCTAATTAAAAGGATGGCCTATTGAATCTCCTAGGTATCATATGTTTTACAAGGGTGGGATTTGAGTGGAGTGGGACAAGGACAAGGCTTTCCTCGTGAATCTTCCAAGCATCGTATGGTTTATATAGAAAAAATCTTGAATAATTGTTGCATAATCTATTTCAGTTCTGCAGGAGATCCTATAATGTTTGCTGGTATTGGTTGTTCCTTATTATGGAAAAACAAATGTAAGGGATGTTAATCTGGAGCAATTTCTAGGAAGGTGACACTTCTTTTCTAGGATTTGGATGTCCGAGAGTGTATAGAGTTTCTCATCATCTGCTATTTATTTGCTTGTTTAATTGTATTGGTCTTCTACTAATGAGCTGCACTGTTATAGGTCACCTTCTCCCAGTCGTGCTAGGTCAAGATCCAGGTCGCCATCCAAATCTCGATCCAGATCAAGATCTCCAATAAGTTATAGGCGAAGGCGGAGATCCCGTTCTTTCTCTCCTCCACGGAGATCAAGAGATTATAGATCCAGGTCACCTGTGAGATCCCGGCGCTATTCAGGCTACGAAGATGAAAGGCGGCCATATAGGGATGTTAGATATGCTAATGAAAGAAGTCGAAGACGGGATTTTGTTAGATTCTATGATCGTCGTTCTCCTGTTTCAAGGAGAAACAGAAGTAGAAGCACAAGTCCCCGAACTAGAAAATCTTACCGTGACGATTCAGGCTCACCAAAACACCGCCGAGAAAGTCCAGCACTTAAGACAAGTAGAGCTTCTCGCCATGAGTCACTATCGCCTGAACATAGACGAAAAAGTAGGTCATCCCCAAAAGATGGTGAAAGAAAATCAAAATATAGCAGGCGCTCGAGATCAAAGTCTGCTGAAGTTAGGGACCAGTCTGATGATAAGCTAGAAGGAAGCAGGGGTGAGAAATCCAGGCAGAAGGATCAAAGAAGGTCAGCATCACCACAGGTTGATGAAGATGCACAGAAGAAAATGTCACCGGAAGTTGTGGAAGAAAGCAAGTCAAAGCAGAGAAGAACCTCCAGGTCCAGATCTCCAGAAGAGAAGCATCTTTCTAGCAGAAGCAGAGAAGAGAAAAGAAAGCATCATGCTAGAAGGCGCTCCAGGTCAAGGTCCAAATCTCCTGAAGAGAAAGTTCACTCAAGTGATAAATTAGACAGAAATAAAGGAGATAAACCTAAGCATCGAAGTAGAAGGCACTCAAAGTCAAGGTCCAGATCTCCTGAAGAAAGACATCATTCAAGTGCTAAATTGGAAAGGAGCAGAAAAGAGAAATCAAAGAGTCGAAGTAAAAAGCGCTCCAGGTCAAGATCTGTCGATGATAAGCAGCACGGAACTAAACAGTCAGCAAGCCGTTCTGATAGCCGACGATCAAAGCTCAGGGCACGTTCTAGATCAAATTCTTCTGAAAGTAGGCATGGATCAGGTCAAGATGAAACCATAAAGGATGAAGTGAGAGGTCATAGGGGTCACCAGAGAAGATCTAGGCAGGATGACCATAATCATGGAACAACTGAGATTAGCTTGATGGAAGAAGATCCTGCTAAGGGAATGTAAACCAGTGACTGATAGCTTCCAATTCAAAGAGTTCTGAATCTATGGGTTATGGCTTGTGATACTCAATTGTGTGAACATTTTATTTTACCATTGCAGAAAACATGAGAAGTTTTGAGGAAGCACGATGTCCTGGAAGATCGTGATCCCAACACCTGATGATCAAGAAAGATCTGTTAGACTGAATTAATTGCAGTTTGTATGACGGAAATGCCTATTTTTGCTTCTTTTGCAGGTCCTTCATGGAACATAACCAGAAAGTGAAGTAGCATTAGTTGAAAGGTTGAGTATCAAGTTTGTGCCATCTTGGATCAACTCTGCTGAGTTTCTTGTGAACTACTTTTTGAGCTCATGTATGGTGAACTTTTACCTCTGTCAGTAGGTAGTAATTTCTTAATTGTATGTCTGTTTGAGGATTTTAATCACCCCTTATCCTTTTAGTAATCTCAGTGTTGTGAAGGAAGGTATATCAATTACCCTTTCTTGTGAGGGAATTGTGCCTTCCACTGAAGAATTTGAATGTCCTTGAGCATTATGTTTTCATATCCTGTACTCATTAACTGATGCGATCTAATGATAGGGTAGTTTCAAAAAGCTTTCTAATTAAGTAGCTTAGTTGTCTTATGAATCTATTGTACTACCTTTGCATGATGAGTTAGTGATGTTGGTAATTCGGTAGGAGGCTCCAATTTTATTTACATTTGGTGGCTTGGTGGGCCTGTTAAATTCCAAAAACATGCAGGTCTTGGGACTGATTCTTGTTGGCGCTTTATCAATTGAATGGGCAAAGTTATATCTGATTGTATTTGAAGGTATGCAATTGAAATTTTTGGTTGTTTGAATGGGAGGGCATTCACTGCTTTTGGAACAATTATTTTAAGAATGCTGGCTGAAAATTGTTGGGATGAAGAAATATGTTAAAGTTTAAGGTTGTTAATCTTCACATATTTTGCATTGCTTCTTTCCTCATCTTTTCTTCTCCTTTTTTCCATCTTCTCCTTTTTTTCCCTTTTTTTCTTTCTTTTGTCTTTCTTCTTGAAAATGTTTGGTTAGGCAGGCTGCTATTAAGGTTAATGTAACCAGATGTTGCTGAGATGATAGTGCATGATGCTCCCTGAATCGAGCATGAAACAGATACTCATATCTGTTCTTTAATTGGTGGAACTCAATTGTTCCATAACAGGTAAAATCTTGTTGAATTCATTAGCTTCTAGTTTTTATCCTTGCAAACGGAGTAATGGAGGACATGATGGTTATTGCTCAACACCTCTAGTTCACACAATTTTAGTTGCCGAAATTGTCTAATTGATTAACAGGTGGTTTATCTGGCCTCTTGCTTATATTTTATTCGTCTAGTGTCCTCCGGGGTTACAGTAATTAAAGTGATTGGAACCTCTTGCAGTTACTTCAAATATTAGGAAAAAATATTGCACTTAAGAAAAACAATAGGCATTAAGAAAATAGAAGCGTTATTAAGACATTTATTTGGGGGAAATGGTATGTATGAAATCCACATTTGCACTGTATGCTGACACTTGTTTGTAGCATGCTATGACATGTAAAAGCTACATACATTGTATGAAATAACCTTATCTGAAGAATTCCTTGATCTGTATCATATATCTGATTGTGGAAATTCTCGCATTACCCTTGTACTTTATATTGACTCCTATGCTCTCATGGTGGCCACCTTATTGTCTTCTGAAGGCATTCTTTGTTAACTGTCTGAAGAATCTCTGCCTTCTTTTTTTTTTTTTTTTGGGTTTTCCGTTTTGTTTTTTCTAGGTGGTGCTGGATGTATGGGACTGAGAGCTGTATCCTGTTGTCAATCTAGATGTGGTTGATGTCACACTTATAATTTCCTTCCCTTCCCCCTTCCCCCTTTCTTTTTCATTTACATTCACGTTTACCCTTCCCTGTCTTTCATCTCAGCTTCTCTCCCTTGCTTTCCTCTTTTTGTTTTTGGGGTGGTTGGAGGTTCTATAAGGAGTAGTATGACTAGCTAAAAGGCACAAGCAGCAAGGCGAGGAAGCATTAATTTTGGCTGGTGATTTGACTATATGTATTTTTGCTAGGATGTTTTTGTTTGGACAAGGATTATAGCTCAAGAGTAGACACTTTGTTTAGGTGTGTATGGCCATCTATGAAATAAAAATCAACAGATATTTTTCAGTAGTCTTATTCCTTTGCATGTTAAAGTTTCAATACACCCACATAATGCTTATCATCCTTCTTTCTTTCCCGTCAATTCTTCACTAGTGGACTATACTTGGGTTAAAAATGGTGTTGGCTGATACCATTTTCACTCCCTGATAGCAGATTATCCTATAGGGTAAAAGCTGATTCTGACCCTCGAAATTTGCCTAGTGTTCTCATCCCTGGATCTGAAAGATATTTGTGTCTTATGAACTGATTAAATTATCTCCAGAAGCAAACTATGCTTTTGTTTTGAATTGTCTATCCCTTGTTGTTTGGTGTGGTTCTATGGACTCTTGTTTGACAAACATCCTGTTCAATTCGCTATACGCATTGTGCTAGCTCACTAACAATGCACATTCCATAAACTTATTGTGTGCATATGTATCCATTATATTCATGGATAGCACATGGATTTTTTCTTGAACCAACTGCTCATTCTGGATTTGAGTTGCTTATAACGAGAAATCTATTTTCTTTGTTTAGTTTTTCTTATAATTTGATATGCTTTATGAGTATTGCTCCTTATTTTCTGAATTTCTCTATTTTTGTGTGCGCAATAGAGTTATCTGAAGCTGAATAATGAATGCATGTAAAGATTTTGAAAGAACATTGTATCATCAGAAGGTTTGAGGTCAAGAAAAAAATTAACGAAGCTGTAGGTGTTATCATTTTCAATCAACCGTTAAAACTTCTGTTCCACTTGTTAGTCATATGAACAATTTAATTGTAACAATTTGTTTACATAAATTGAAAAACAGTTCACCAGTAACCACTAATACCAATTGAATTAGTCGTTGTTTGATTGTGATTTTGTTGAAATATGGTAAATTACGGTAAGTACCCTTGTAATTTGAATCAATTGCACCATGTATTTTTAAGTTCAACACTTAGATAAGGTAAGGCTTTGTGTACGTACCTACAATGTTTGTACTTATCAATTCTATGAAATAAATATAGGATAAGATCATAATTTTGTACTTTTTACACCATCGAAATGAAAAATAACATCTCGTAAAAATTATGTTCTTATCCAAAACTAAGGTGTACATTGCCATAAAATTCATTATCAATGGACAGCTTTTATCTCTGATTTTGTATTTTTGCAATTTAGAGGAGTGACATCTTATCCATCCACGTAGAAAGAGTAGGCAATGTTTGGCAACTTTAATTTCATGTCAAAGTCATTGTAGGCAAACAAAATTTAGGTACAACTTACAAGTTGTTATTTGGTGCAAAAGTGCATTAATATATTTCTTTTTCGTACGTGGGGCTAAAGTAACGTGGCGACTTACTCATTCAATGACTTTAGTACTAGACGTTCCCAAAATGAAGACTTTTAGGTAAATTCATTTTAATAGACAAGGAAAGCTTGAAACTTTTTCCATCTCTCTCAATAATTGTGTCGAAGTAATTTTTAGGGAGACTTTCTCATGAAATAATTGTAATGAGGAATGTTATAGTATATTCCTTGTAATTATGATTAATTCACAAATTTTAAGTAAGATGGTAGAAAGTGAGCAAACTTTTTGAATCTCTCTAGAAACTCGACAAAATTGTCTAACTCACAATATCAAGTTGTTGGTGTATCAAATTCAATGAACTTAGTAACATATTTAGTTTTTCGATAATGAGTTCATCTAAATTTAATATTTTTAAGTGAAACATAATAGTATATAAATGAAAATCTTCAGAAATATTGAAAATATAATGAAGTTTAATGATAAAAATCAAGTAACTCATCAAATTAAGGTACTTTATCCGCCATCAACTAAAACTCATTACTACTATGGCTCCCAAATAGGTTATGAAATCGATTAGCCACTAACTTATTTAAAAATCAAATTTAAAATGAAAATATGTTAAAAACTTCAACTTCTCGGGTGAAATATGTGAAAATTTCATCCATCTTAAATTCCACATGTGAAACTATATTGAATTACTCAATACTCGCTTCTAGTGGTGAAGTTATGAATTTTACTAAGGGGTCAAACTATGATGAAGTAAACACATGAACTAGCCAAAGAGAGTCCAACATATATTATATTACTGGTGTAATTTTCCGTATGTCGCGCCACCCGTGCTCCCTGAAATGAACATCTAATTCTTTAATTTAACTTTTTATCTAATATATTTATAATACATTCAATATATTTTTATGTCGAAGTCAAAATCAGACAAATAAATGGAACATATCCAAACACTCCACTTGCCTTTTTCTTATATATATACACACCTAAAAACCTTGACACTTCAATCAAATTCCACAAGAAAAAAAATGTATCTAAGAACCCCAATAGATCGTGTACTATTTTCCCCATCATATCCACAATTTTCAAGAACACAAAAAGGGTCTTTGAGAGTTAACTCAAAACTTAACAACAATGTGATAGAAATTAGTGAATCAAAAAGCTTTTATGAGCTTTTGGGTATTCAAGAAACTGTTTCTTTATTAGAAATCAAACAAGCGTACAAACAATTAGCAAGAAAGTACCACCCAGATGTTTCACCTCCGGGTCGGGTCGAAGAAAATACCAAAAGGTTTATTCGGGTTCAAGAAGCTTATGAGACATTATCGGATCCTAAATCAAGAGATATGTATGATAAAGATATGTCTAAAGGTTTTCACTTTGCATTTTCTCCTCGTAGAAAGTGCCAAAATGATGAGGTTAGTTTTTTATTTATTTTTAGATAATTTTTTTGGATATTTGGGTGAATTAAAGTTTGTGTTTTTGAAATTTGTAAATTATTGTATTAAACATTTTAACTTTGAGTTAATTGATAACTTAACACTCTAAGCTGATGTGACATGTAAAATTTTGAAAGTGTGTAGATGATTATTTTGCAAGTTGGAGTGTTCAATTGAGATGAGTTGATGTGTCTGAATGTGCATATTGTTAGTTGAGGGCGAGTTTAAGTGATTGTTTATGTATGATTTTGTTATACTATGAGGTGAATTAAAGATTTTTTTTTAATTTGTAAAAATTTGTGGTAGTGGTGTTTTTTAAAGTTTGAAATTAAATGGGGTTTGTTTAATTATCTTGTTTTAGTCACCTAATTTGTGTGTAAAATATGTTTGGTGTCTAATTTGAGGGCAATTTGTCTTTAGCGTGATTGTTGACAACTAAGGGACTCTTCACTTTCGATGTCGTACCCGTGTTGGTTTCTCTGAAAATATACTACTTTTGGAGAATCCGACATACAATTGTTGACATTTTTGAAGAGTCCAAGCAACATAGGTTGACAATACTCTGCTATTTTAATTCTTTTTTCCTCTAGAATTTGGTATGCTTAGTATTTTTGTGTAGAACATATTAGGATATAGTTGTGTGAGTGATAAGGTTGGCAACAAGGTCTGGGATGGATGGAATATTAGTGTCTGGCTGATATTTGATTTGAAAGAGTTGTAAGAATCAGGGGCGGAGCTAGCAAGACGCAAGGGGGTTGCCCAAGATCTCAAAAAAATTTAAAATGTGTATATACTAGACGTTGAATCCCTTGACTTCTTTGTGTCTTTACTTTTTATATTCTGAATTCCTTAGTGAAGATCCTGGCTTTGCTACGATAAAAGATCACTCGTAGAACATGGAGTTAGTGTTGTTGAAATGCCATATACTTGTCAGTGCATCTCTACAACTTTATACAGCCTCTGCTACTGAAAATATATCGTTTGTTTAGAGAATCGCAGCTTTTGCATTCATGTAATTGGTTTTGTTTTGTTGTTGTACAGTGATATATCCGCGAATTCTACTCTTGAAATCTTCTATTTTCTTCACTGATATGGTTTTCTTATATGCATTTAGTCAATGGAGGACACCGGTGAATGGAAGAATCGTTGGCATTCCCAGCTATCCGAGTTGAAAAGAAGAAACACACACAAGGACTCTGGTAACAATATGTCTTGGGGTGCATGTATGCGTAGACAAAGGAATGAAACATCGTTATAACGAATAATCCTTGCTATATAGTTTTTATATATTGCTTGTATATTAGATATATAATTGGAAGTGTTTGGTTAGCATTGATGTTTTAAGTAGTGTAACAACTATGTAAGTGCTAACCAAATATAGGTAACTGTTTGTACATAGAGTTATTTGAATCAAGTTGCTATTTTAACCATATCGCGCTATTATTTCTCGAGCTATTTACGTGGTTTCTGCTGTGAATGTATGTTGAATTTGTCTCAATCGCGCTCTTTGTTTTGGCAACGGTTGATGCAAATAGTAGAGAGACTTTTCTATTCATGTGCAGTTGATTTTCGAACAAAAGGAAGAGTGATAGTAGCTTTCTCTCATAATACTATTTGGACTAGAGCTGTCAATATGGGTCAATCCAACTGAAGTCAGCCCAGTCTACATGGGCTGTATAAATTATTGGCCCAACTTCTCATTTGAGGACCTTCAAAATGCTAGCCCAATCCAGCTCTACACGGCCCATGGGCTGTTGGGTGTCCAACAAACCTTTCTTAATTAAGAAAGATTCATTCACCGTAGTTTCTCTTAGTAGCAGATAAAACTACTAATATCACATCATATAGAATATCGATCGATAGGCATTCAAGTCTATTATATAATTCATATTGATGATCTTATTGTTTTCACGAGCGCATCCTTTCTTAGAGTCAGTTGTTTTCAATCAGAAGTTAATGCTTGCTTTCCTAAAGAATAAAGGGGAAATTATAGCCCAATGTTTTTGGCTATTCAATTACAAAATATGTACTTAGTGTATAAATAATGAATACTTTATATAAGTATATGCATATACTACATGTAACATATACATACTATATATCTATAATATATATACATATACTATAATATATCTATACACAATAATATCGACAATCAAAGTTTGACCTTCAATCATGTTGGTAAACTAGATGATCAAAGATTACATTTTACCTAAGTTTGACTCTCTTGAAGGGTGATAAGGGTCAAACATGTAGTCAAATACATTAATTAAATTTCATAGAAAGTAATTAAACAAATATCTGTTTTTTTACTGAGACTGTAATTTCATAATAACGGGATGTTCACTTAAA